CTATTGCCCTTCCTCCATCACCTCCCTAATATTGTTATAGTTGTTAGATGTCATCGATTTGGCATCAATTCATAGTGACCCTATGTACAACAGAACAAAACATTGCCCTATCCTGCGCCAACCTCACAATTGTTGCTATACCTAAGCCCATTACTGCCGCCGCTGTCTGTGCTAATCTATCTCATTGGGGGTCTTCCTCTTTTTCTCCGACTGTCCACTTTACCAAACATGATATCCTTCTCCAGTGACTGGTCTCTCCTGACAATATGTCTGAACTATAGAGATAAGAAAGATAAGGCGTTCTGCTCCCGTAAAGATTTACAGCCTCGGAAACCCTGTGCAGGGTCACTATGAGTCAGAATCAACTCCACGGTACGTAACAACAGCAATAAGAGATAAAGTCTAATCATCCTGGCTTCCATGGTACATTCTGGCTGTACTTCTTCAAACACAGATCTATTTGTTCTTTCAGCAGACTGTGGTACTTTTAATATTCTTCTTCAACACCATAACGCAAATGCTTCAATTCTTCTAAGATCTTCCTTATTCTCTATCCAACTTTCACATGCATATGAGGCTAGTGAAAATACCATGACTTGGGTCAGGCACACCTTAGTCCTCAAACTGACTTCTTTGCTCTTGAACACTTTAAAGACGTCTTGTGTAGTAAATTTGCTGAATGCGATATACATCATTTGATTTCTTGACTGCTGCTTCCATGAGTGTTGATGGTTGATACCAGCAAAATGAAGTCTTTGACAACTTCAATCTTTTCTCCATTGATAAGAATGTTGTTTATTGGTCCAGTGGGGAGGATTTTTGTTTTCTTTACATTGCGATGCAACCCATTGTGAAGGCTGTGGTCTTTGATCTTCATCAGTAGATCTGTTGTTATTGTTAGGTGCTATCAAGTCAGTTCCAGCTCATAGTGACCCTGTGCACAACAGAACAAAACACTGACTGGTCCTGCTTCACCTTCAGAATTGTTGTGATGATTGAGCCTGTTGTTGGTGCCATTATGTCATTGAGGGTCTTCCTTTTTTTCACTGACCAAGTATGATGTCCTTCTCCAGGAACTGCTCCTTCCTGACAACATCATTTCCCTTATAAGGAAGAAACAGAAAGAGAGAAATTCATTCATCTCACTTCTGTGTGACACAAATTTGTCTTCTGATGGTTTGTGGGGGTTAATGAAATGACGAAGTCTCCAGCATGCTGAGCTCAACAAATGTAAAATATCAGCTGGAGTGAAGTCTGATTTAATGGTAAACAGTTAAAGCAAGTTGCCTACAGGACTATACATGGACAAAGTATCTTCTTCGAACTATTTTGAGTGCTGTCATTAGAAAAGAGATATGCTACATTTAGGGATTTTTAGACAAACAATTTTTGTCAGCCACATCCTCTTCTATCCTGAAGTAAATGAAGATACTTAGTCTCGCCTATTTCAGTAATGTAGACATCAGCATTTTCTGCCCAAGCTAAAATAAGCCACCTAAACATAGGGCAAGAGCAGATTCCAATAAAATTAAAAGGGCCCATGTTTTATTTATTACTGCCCAAAATGAAGATACCTTCGCTTTCTCCCTCAGGGTTCTTTTTCCTACCCCAAGTCACCATAAAATGGACAGAGCATGAAAGTGCAAAAGGAGAGATCATTGAAAGTTCGGTCTGAAGGGAAAATAATTTCAAATAGCTTTTAGGGGCCAGCTAAATATACCTCATTGAATATATTTGGGAAGGAGTAAGGAATTCAACTTTGGGCATTTGCCAATTCCATCTTAAGTAGAAAGAAAGTGTGAAACCAGCCAACTTTAGTCCAGGCACTTACTTCATTACTTGTAGAAGTAAATTAAAGAAACGGAATTGGAAGCTGAAGGTGGAATGGACTAGTTGCCATGAAGAATTATTGGTCATGTGTAAAGTGCTATATAAACTAAAAGTCATCCTTGAATACATCACCATAAGTACTTTTATCACTGGGAGTAGCAAGATAAATAATTCATTAGTGAATTCAGGAAACAGAGGTGAATTTTATTTTTCCCTCACAAAGGAAAATATGCCAAATTAGCAAATGTTAAATGGCAGAATGGTAGATTTCAAAAACCTGCCTCCAAGTTGATTCCAACTCATGGTGATCTCATAGGACAGAGTAGAACTGCACCCTAGAATTTCTGAGACTAGACGTCTGTACAGAAGTACTCAGCTTCTTTACCTCACGGAGTGGCTGGTGGGTTTTAACCACCAACCTTGTGGTTGGGAACTCAATGCTTAACTAACTGCACCACCAGGGCTCCTTTAAATGGTGGTTGTTAGGTGCCATCGAGTCAGTTCCGATTCCTAGTGACTCCATGCACAACAGAACAAAACACTGCCCAGTCCTGTACCATCTTCACGATTGTTGTTACATGACTGCTCATTGCTGCTGCCATCTCACTGAGGGTCTTCCTCTTTTTCACTGATCCTCCACTCTACCAAACATGGTATCCTTCTCCAGGCACTGCTCCTTCCTGACAATATATCCGAAGTATGAGAGACGAAATTTGACCATCCTGGCCTCTAAGGAGCACTCTGGCTGCACTTCTTCCAACATAGATCTGTTGGTTCCTCTGGCAGTCTAGGATACTTGAGTATTATTTTCCAACACCATAACTCAAATGAATTCATTCTTCTATGGTCTTCCTTATTCATTGTCCAATTGTCACATGCATATGAAGCTATTGAAAATACCATGACTTGGATCAAGTTCAGCCTAGTCCTCAAACTGATATCTTTGCTCTTCAACACTTGAAAGAGGTCTTGTGCAGTAGATTTGCCTAATGCAATCTGTCATTTAATTTCTTGGCTGCTGCTTCCTGAGTGCTGATTGTGGATCTGAGCAAATTGAAGTCTTTGACAACTTCTATCTTTTCTCCATTTACCTGATATTATGTATTGATTCAGTGGTGAGGATTCTGGTTTTCTTTGCTTTGAGGTGTCCTTGAAATGGTAGAACCATGCAATCAATCAAGCTACATAGTTCAAAGGACACCTAATTATATATTAAGTGTGAAGTCTCCCATCCTCCCATTTTAAATGGTTACCTTTATCTTACAGTGGTAAGATGTCAGCCATCAGATATATGATTATGTCTTCAGATATTTGTGGTTTGGCACTTGTTAAATGATAGAGGTCCCAACAGAGCTCTCCCCTGAGTATTTTTGACATGATGGTAGAGCTACCATTCATTTGCTCGACATCTGTGAATATCAAGCAGGAACATAATAACTAACATCTAGGTGTGTTGAGTTCCTCATCTTCTTTCATCAAACAACAGTCCAGTTGCAAGTGGGGGAAAGGCAGGAATGAAGACATGGGCTGAGCTTGACCATGTTCCATAGACTCCTGTCCACCTTGAGATGAAAGAGAGAAGAGGAAGGGTGGGTTAGTCCGAAGTTTAGGGAGACTTGAGAACCACTGAGCCCATGGACACTGACCTAGCCACTGGAAACTAGAGCTGAAAGTAAACTGTCCAGCTGATATGAAGTGGGGTGGAGATGCACAAGAATGCCCAAACTTGCAGATAGTATGCATTTGACATAACTTGGATGGTTTGATGATCAAAATTCGACTAGAGGAAGATAAAGAAATTTGATACAGGAAGCAAGTGTAAATTGCTGCTTTTTGATGAACTTGACCTTATCTTATAGATGTAGTAGCACAAAATACCAACCATGAGGGAAGGAGTCTTCCAATCAAGGATCAAGTGTATGCCCTCAGGACACAGGGTTGATAGGGACGGGCAACTCAGACATTAGCTACCTAAAGTTCATGGCATGCAGGGAGCTCTAAAGGCACTAAGTGGCTGGCTTACAAGCTTCAGAAGGGAGTTTAATTTTAGAGTGAGTGGGAGAAGGTAAGTGCCCCACTGAATAGTTTCCATCTTGTCTAGATGGGAGGTGGAAAGTGGGGATCTGATTCTTTTGATTCAATAGTGAGTAATTGTTATCATGACTAATGGCAACTGTCACAATTGTAAAGGTAGAAGATGTGTAACAAAAAAGGGGGAGTGGTTAATTTTTCATCCCAGAAACAGAGGACCTTAGGACCAGTGAGAGATAAGAACATGAGTGGGATGTGGGATCCTAACTAGAAAAGCAGCGACCCCAGAGACTGAGGAAGAGATGATGGCATAGAGAGAGCAGCTGAGGACTCTAGACTCATGGAAAGAGAAAGGTGGTGTGCTGATGGGTGGGCGGGGGGAGGGGGGGAAGGGGGGGAGGCTGGTTTGCAAAATGTGTCCTTTCGTAGTTTAAACAATTATATATTCCTGCATGTTTTTGTGTGCATCATTTCAATGAAACAAGATGCAATTGGTTGAGTACAAAACTGATGTTCTGCCATTGTAGACTTATCATTCAATTCACAATAAAAGCTTTAAGAAATGTGTGTTAGACCCTGTATGTGTCTGAGTAGGACTGTATTCCTTAGGGGTTTCAATGACTAGATTGTTGTAAGCAATTCACCAAGAGCATCTTCGGGGGCATCTCTGGGTGGACTCTCACCTCCAGCTTTTCTGTGAGCAGCAGAGCAAGTTAACCTTTGCACAACCCAGGGAGTCCCCTCATTCACCACGATGCGATGAATAACAAAGCAAAAATATTTTTCCTTTGTTATGCTTTCTGCACAGCGATTCGTGTAATCTCCACTGTCGTTTGGTAAGGTGGGCACCACTATCATTCTTGATTTTCAGATTTAAAAAGTGAGACTGAGAAAGGTGGGATTCTTTTCCCAGACATTCAATCCCACCTTATTCTCCAAACAAAGACTATGTGTCCGCCATGAAGAAATACTGTTTTCTCTGTGGATGTGTCTGTACCCAGTGGAGAATGTCCAATCTGGGAAACAGACTTTACTTCCTAAATGTGGACTGTTGTTCTCTTCTCTTCTGTCCCCTGCCTTTTTCTCTACCATCTGCTTCTATCTTGACCTAATCTCAGCTCACCCTTTTCTTTCTAAAGGTAAATACGCCATGCGAGACCTTGTCCACCGGCTGCCTGGTGGGAACAACAGCAAGGCCATGTCAGATGACACAGTGACTGCCGTCTGCTGTACACTGCATGAGGTGATCACCAAGAACATGGAGAATGCCAAGGCCTTACGGGACGCCGGTGGCATTGAGAAGTTGGTCGGCATCTCCAAAAGTAAAGGAGACAAGTAAGTTAGGCAGTGGCTTCATAGCCCTGTCTCAGTTGAATTGGCTTCAAGTATGTCTGCTCTCCCCTGGTGCTTGGTAACTTCTGGATTGTCTCTGCAAAGCTTTTGTCTCTGATGATCCAGAGAATGAAACCAGTCAATGGTTTCCAACCTTCACATTTGTAATGAAGCTTATGAGTCTTTTGATCAGATGAACCATTTTTGATGTTGGTAGATTTGACAATGTCCTAGTGTGTGCACAAGGGGACTTTAACAAGTTCTTGGAAAAATTGAGTTGAAAGAGAATGTAATTTTCTCATGAACTTTTTGAAGTAACCTTGTAGTGAGTGTTCCTTTGCATGAAGACCATCCTGCCACAGTTTGAGGAACCATGTAGCAGTTCCCTTCTGCACATATGTGGTCTCCATGAGTTGGTATCAACTCAACAGCAATTAACAACACACACACACACATAAGTTAGGTCTGTCTCTACTTAGTCTCATAATTGTCACAGAGATGCATGCTCAGTAAATATCAGTAAAATCGAGGTCTGATTGAAGCAGATCTTCAATAATCAAGAGTGATCTGTTAAAAAATAAACTTGGATTTATTTGCTCAAAAAACAGGGTATTCCTTCAACATGGAAAAGACAACTAGCTTTATGAACCAGCACACAGAAGGGTATTTTGTTTCCCCATTGCCACTGATGTAGCCACATACTTTTGCTCTGTTCCCCTGCAGCTCAGCATAGCCAGTCATCAGGTAAGAAGTATATGGGAAAAAATCAAGTCTATTAGTGTCCAGGGTCCCTGGGTCACACCAACAGTTTAGTGCTTCACTCCTAGCCAGAAGATTGGTGGTTTGGGATCCTCCCAAAGGTACCTTGGAAGATAGCTCTGTTCCAAAAGGTCACAGCATTGACCCTAGGAAACTCAGTTCTACTCTGCAAAAATGGGCTTGTCATGAGTGCAGGCTGGCAGCACCTGATTTGGTGTTTCATTGGAGTCAGAGGGAACAAGGTTTGAGTCCAGCACCCTCCCTTACTAGCTATAAGCTCTAGGGCAAATAATGAAATGTCCATGCATTCCAATCTTAAATTGCCAGTTGTTGCTGTTGTTAAGTGCCTTCAAAGCAGTTCCGACCCATAGTGACCCTTTATAGGGTTTCCAAGGAGCACCTGATGAGCTTGAACCGCCAACCGTGTGGTTCAAACTGACTTTGCAGTCCAGCACATTAACCCACAGCACCACACCAGGACTCTAAATTATGTGTCTGTGTGTGTGTGTGGGGGGGGGCTATCTTAAGGAGCTCTGGTAGCGTAGTGGTTGCAAATCGGGCTTCTAACCTCAAGGTTGGCAGTTCAAAACTACCAGCCATTCCATAAGAGAAAGATGAGGCTTTCTGCTCTTGTAAAGATTTACAGCCGCGGAAACCCTGTGCAGGGTCATTATGAGTCAGAACTGACTCCATGGTACTTTAACAACAACAACATCATAATATACCCCCTAGAAGAAGTCATCATCAAGTTTTAACGGATGAATGGAAGTTTCTCAGGTGGAAAGGGCATTCCTCTGAAGGGGATGAAAAGACCTAGACTCATGTGAAAACAATTGCACTTCCACAAACAGGAATGTCCCCCAGCTTGATTTAAGAAGCAGTGATATTTTCGTCTATGCACTGGAAAAGAAACGGAAGAAAAAAACCCAACAACACTATATCTTCACTAGACAGAATGTCTGTTTATCAAGAAGCTGTCAGCTGTATAGAAACACACACTAACCTTAATTAAATTTTGCCTCCTGGAAGTCCCTCAATGTAATCAAAGAAGATTAAAGGGGTAAAACCTTTAGTTATCAATAGTCTGTTTCTTGAATTCTCAGCCCCTCTCTCTTCCCGCTTCATTCCTTTACATCTGAAGGCAAAAATAATTTTCCTTTGTTATTAAAGGCTCTGAGGGATTCACTTTGAGACCTTTTGGAAATTCTCTCTCATTATTATTTTCATTTAATTCCATTCCATCCAGTTGTATTATAGAAGAAGTTTCAGGGTTTCTGCTTAAGCCTCCTGAGACCTCCAAGCAGATTCCATCTACAATTCAGTTTTGGATCTGATTACTTTTCTGTCAAGTTGAGACGCTCTGTTAGGCGTAGGTGTAATCACTGAGCAATCTACACGGTTGGTTTAAATGATACCTTCTGATAATGTGAACAAAGAAAAACAGTTAGCACCAAGTCGATTCTAACTCCTGGTGACTCCATATGTATCACAGTAGAACTGCGCTCCATGCAATAGTTTTCAATGGCTAATTTTTTTTTTTTTGAAGCAATCACTAAGCCTTTCTTGTGAAACACATCTAGGTGGCCTTGAACTGCCAACTTCTTAGTGACTTTTCAGTTAATTTGAATTGCAATACCACGCGGGCATTCCTCTTTGGAGATATACTATTTACAATAATAAAATGCTGTTTTATTTGGGCAATACGCCATGGTGGTTTTCTTCTTTATCCAGTGTCTCTGAAATTTCTAACTGATGTGCTTTCCTACATTGGACATTAGGAACTTAAGACGGATGTTAGTATGTTTTAAACACAGGTTTGTATACATGTGTATACACATACAGCATACAGACATAATCTACACAATCCTCTGATTTTATCTATCTTTTTATGAATCATTCAAAGATCAAAATATACAACTAGAAAGCTTAAGAAAGTGGTTGGGAATGTATTCCAACTTTAGAGGCATCCCGAAAGCATTAGCAATCAATGAAAAGCACACCAAACCATTGCTGTCGATCCAGTTTGGGCTCAGGAGAGGCCTATGTGTATCAGAGTAGGGCTTTCAGAAGCTGGTTTCTCAGAAACAGATCACTAGGCCTTTCCTTCAAAAACTGTTTACCTAAGTGTACAAAATGAACCTTAAAAAGAAAGATGGTTTTACCAGGCCTGATATTGTTGTTAGGAGCCATCAAGTCAGTTCCAACTAATAGCCACCCTGTGCACAACAGAAGGATACCCTACCCAGTCCTGTGCCAGCCTCACAGCTGCTATGTTTGAGCCTATTATTGCTCCCACTGTGTCAATCCATCTCTTTGGGGACGTCTTCCTCTTTATTGTTGTCCCTCCATTTTACCAAGCATGATGTCATTCTCTGGGGACTGACCCCTCCTGACACTATGCACTATGCCCAAATCCTTTGATTTCTTTCTTTTTTTTTTTTTTTTCAGTTTTTATTGTGAATTGAGTGTTAGTTTACATGGAAGAACATCAGTTTTACAGTCATCGTTTCATTGCAATGATTACAATCTCCTGCATGCATCATCACTCAACAGTATTTGCTCCTAGTCCCTCTGTTTTGTTTTTTGATGGGGGGAGGGTGTACACAAAAACACTCAGGAATATATAACAGTTTCAACAACCAAAGGACATATTCTGCAAGCCTGCCTCCTGGCCACCAGTTCACAGTCCCTCTCTCCATGAATCTAGAGTCCTCAGCTGCTTCCTCTCTCCATGCCCCCATCTCTGCCTCCATCTCTGGTGTCGCTGCTTCTCTGGATAGGGTCCTGCATTCTGCTCATGCTTTTCTCCCTTGATAGTCCTAGGGTCATCTGTTTCTGGACTGTAAGCTTAACTACTCCCCTCTTATTGTTACAAAACTTCTACCTTTACAATTGTGACAGTCACAGTTAGTCATGATAACAATTACTTACTACTGAATCATAAGACTCTTATCCCCATCTCCTTTCACCAGACCCATCTAGACAAGATGAAAACGGTCAAGGGGCAATCCAAATTTCCCCTGTGCACTCTGAAACTAAATTCCCTTTTGAAAATTTGTAAGCCAGTCACTTTGTGCCTTTTATCTCCCCCCATTTTAGGTTGTTGTTGTTGTTAAGTGCCATTGAGTTGGTTCCAACCCATAGCAACCCTGTACAAGGTTTCTGGGGCTGTAAATCTTTACAAAAGCAGAAAGCCTCATCTTTCTCCTGTGGAACTGCTGGTAGTTTCGAACTGCTGACCGTGAGGTTAGCAGCCCAACTCGTAACCACTATGCTAACAGAGCTCCTTCCCATTCTAGGTAGCCAATGTCTAAGTTGCCTGCCCCTATCAACCCTGTATACAGAGGGAATAGGATTGATACTTGATTGCCACACCCTTTGATTTCTTGACTGCTGCTTCCATGAGTATTAATTGTGGATCCAAGCAAAATAAAGCATTTGACAACTGCAATCTTTTTTCCATGTATCATGATGTTATTATTGATACAGTTATTTATTGGTCTAGCCTTACAGAGAAATAAAATGATTTAGTGAAATTATTAAAACATCATTTGAGGAGATCATCTTTATTAATATATATCCTTATTACCAACCCAGAAGATGCCCGGGAAGGAAGGTCTGCCCAATCTTGATAGCTGATTTGGGAAGTTTCTTTCCCTACGGAGATCTTATAAATGCTCTTCATGGGAGTGAAATCTTCTTTAATCCCTTGTTTCAGCTCGTTGTTCCTTTATACATTTTTTTTTTTAATCAAATGTCAATAGGCTGGATTTAGGAGTTTAATAAGAAGTGTTGGATTGGGTTGAATCAAGCTTCTTTACAATTCTAGTTCTACTGCTTGCTCATTGTCATCCATACTTCATGTAGTCTATCATGATTTTATTCAGTGACTAATTTGGGGTCAAGATAAGATTTGTATCACCTCAGATAGTCTCACAATGTACTCCTTAATCTTCTACTTCCACTTTAGCTTGAGTCTTGATTTTCGCTGCTATCAAAACAAAATGACTCTAAAAGTGCCCCAAATCTTAGCCCTAAATTCACCACTCATCACTCAAGTCTATTACTCCAACAGTAGATAAAGAGACTCCCATGGCATTCTAGAAGTTTTGGACAAGCTTTGATTGTGAATTGAGTGAAGGATTACAAGGCAGATCAGTTTTCCCTTCAACACTTGTGTTTTCCTCTCATTGATTGCAGCCCCCACCATGTAGCCACAGTCATCCCACTTCCTCCCTCTGGTTCTCATTTCCATTCCCCCCTCTTCCCTAACCCTTCTGAACTTTGTCCCTGAGTAAGTGCTACCCTTTTGATCTTAAATGTGTGGCTGTTCTAAGATGTGTGTACCTCCTTAGTGTGACTGTTCCCTTTATGTTGATGTTCTTGTTAAGAGCCATAAGTTGGTTCTGACTCCTACTGACCCTGTATAGGGTTTAGAAGGAGTGGCTGGTGAATTTGAACTGCTGACCTTGTGGTCTAGTGTGCCACACCAGGACTCCTGTAGCCAGCCCTTACTGACCTTCCCACTGCAAACATTTGATAACTTTAGATTGCGCTTTTCACATCAGTTTAGACACACATTGTGGACACTCCTTGGTAGCACCTAGTGTCCATCTTCTTCAGAAAGTGCACTTGATTTTTTTTTTTTTTTTCTATTTTAACAGCTACACGAGAGAGTGTGTAGAACCTGTTTCTATTTTGTCATAAGACAGAAAAGCTAATAACTATCTCAACAACGACATGTCAGTGAGGAACTGTGTGTGGTCGGTTGGGTTATAATCACTTGTCACATTCGAAACACTCGGTTGTTCAAGTCCTTCAATCAGTAGTTATAGTTTTTCAAGTAGAAGTTGCTATGGTATCGGGCTTTTGTTGTTGTTGTTAAATGCCTTCGAGTCGGTTCCGACCCATAGCGACCCTGTACAGGTATCGGGCTAGTGGATCAAAATCAAAGTCTGGAAAGAAAGCAAATAATCCTTTAACCTTCAGATGTTATTACAGCACTCTGATGTGTCTTGGCATTTTAATTGAGTGGTTCAAATCTTTCATTAGACATTCACAGTCTCCCATTTTATATTTAAGCAAAAAGCAAAAACAAAAATTGCACTGTGTCAGAGAATTTTTTTTTTTTTTTTGCATGGTGTTTCAGCTACATTTATCACCACCTGAATATTAATTTATCTGCCTGTAAAATGGCTTGACTGTTTTCATGGACAAACATATAGCTCATAAATATAACATGCAGCAATACGTAGCATTTACTCCTTGGCCAGCATTAATTATATAAGAATCAAAATGTACTTATGCCTGTACAGGAATCCTGATTGGTTTGTAGGATCAGCACTGGGCGACTGACTACAAGGTCGGTGGTTGAAACCCACTGACCACTCATTGGAAACCCAATACAGGGTCACTGTAACTCAGAATTGACTTAATGGCACTTAGCAACAGGGCTGTACATGTTCCTGAGAAGGTGTAGAACTTCCTGTCTTTAAATCAAAGGAATGTAGCATCGCATTGAGCACAGTATTACCAGTGGTTGAGTCATTTAACAAGTCCGTTTTGAGTAAAGACAAGTCAGTGTTATGTTAATATATGTGGTAAGTCCTGGAGACCTTTTTCTTCATTTATCAGACCTGTGTAGTTGATACACACACTTTCAAACACAACCAAAGTTGAATTCTATCTCAATAATGAGTGACTACTATTGTTACTCTGAGAGGAATGGGGGGAGGGGGGACCCATCTGCTTAGCTTGTCTAAACTTCAAATGTGAAGACCCAGAAAAGTAGCAGCTGTTTTATCTACATTAAATGTGCATTGCTGTTGCTAAGAAGCGTCAAGTCAGTTCCAACTCATAGCGACCCTGTATAGGGTTTCTGAGGCGCAACTTGTAAATTTTAACTGCCAAGACCATGTGGTTCCCAGTCCAGTGCTGATCCTACAGGGCGGCACTAGAAATCCACATACCATATAAGAGTGGTCTTCAAGAATTGCTTGGGAAATTGAGTGTAAAGATAATTAAAGCCAGCTCATATTAGCAGCCAACAATTCTGTTACAGAATACAGGTTCATACAACACCATTTACTTTGGTTCTTAACTCCATCCCCTGTAGCCACTTATATCGTGTTTCACAGGCCCTTGTATTCCAACATCTTGGTCTCAATTCCGATGTTCCCTACAGTGACCTCTGTCCTGGTCAGTTTCAAGGGTTGTCATTCACACCAGGGTGTCTGAACAGCTGTTTTCTACCCAACCCCAGGGATCACCGTTCAGAGAGACCAGGTACATCCCACCAGCCTCCTGGTTTTGTAAATGTTAAGTCTTGCTGAAACACAGCCACATCTCAAACTGTGTTCTTGCTTCAGTGACAGGGTTGAGTAGCTGCAAAAGCAAAAATATTTACTCTCTTGTTCTTGATGGAAAAAGTGTGCTGACAGCCCAAAGTAACCCCAATCTAAAAGTCATAACACCCATGAAACCATCCCACAGAAACGCAAAATCAGCAGGTAGTTTGTGGTTGCCATGACTACTCACTGATATGACTTCCAGGAATTGGAATGGATTCGATCAACAAAGATTTCCTGTTTGAGTTTTGTTTGTTTTATTTGTGGTTTGACCAAACACATTAATTTTCCACTCATCAGTTTACACGCTTGTCGTTTCCTAACACAAGTTGTTAGTTGTTAGTGGTCTTCCTGCTTCTTCCCTGGGTCCCCTATTCCCACCCATCCTTGTTTCTTGCCCCCGTGCCTGACTTGTGAGCTTTGTCGTTGGACAGATGCTGCCTTTTGATCTCAGATGGCCACTTATTGTTAGGAGTAAGTTCCTCACTATCACTACTGTTCACTTAATAGACATGTGTCTTGTTTGGCTCTAAGGTGATCCCAGGGGTATGGGTTCAGTTCCAGGTCTGGGTCTAAAAGGGTGAAGCCTGAGAGTTCCCCCAGTCTCTGCCGGACTGATCAGTCCAAGCTGTTTATGATTTTGTTCTACAATTTTCTCCCCTTATGGGCAGTGCCTTCTGTGGCCCCAATCCCAGTGGTAGTCGGGCACCATCTAGTTCCTCTGGTCTCAGGCTGGTGGTCCAAGACTCTGTTTTGAGGTACACATAGACACGGAATCAAAAGGCAAAATATTTAGTTACGCTTTTGAAGGGATTCATGGCTCACAAATGCTAAGAACCTCTCATCTCTAAAGATTGATGTGGTCCCCATGTGTCTCTCGAGTTTCCAGCTTGGAATTTAAAGTGTATGCCAACCTCTATTTATGGATACTTCTAAAAGTGTACCTGCATGTTGTCCATCCTTTCAAAGGAAGGTAGGGCCAACCTTGGAAGTACTCTCCTACTTCTGGAAGAAAACTAGCATCTTTTATCATCTTACTCCAAAAGTGTTCCACGGCATTCCCCCCAAATCTAGCCTTTCCTAATCACTGCTTTTTTCTCCTTCCATTTGCTCCTGAAACACTAAGTGTACATTTTGACTCACCAGTTTCTGTTGAGCCAAGTCTAACTCATGGAAACCTTGTGTGTGACAGAATAGGACTGTGTGGCTCCGTAGGGTTTTTCAATGGTGAATGTTTTGCAGAAGTAGATTGCCAGGCCTTTTTTCCAAGGCACCTCTTGTTAGAAGCTGAGTGTGCAGTCACAGGAACTCCTGAATTCTGACTAAATGCTCTTAGGTGTGTGCTCCCGGTTCTCACAGCCATGTACATGTGGATGAGTGTGAGGTCAGAGACATATGGACGAACCCTCTGCTGAGACTAAAGGAGTCAGAAGTGTCTTGACAAACCTGGAACCTGGCTGCTCACTCACAACCTTGCATGTTCTCTCTTTTCTCCATCAGACATTCTCCAAAAGTGGTCAAGGCAGCATCTCAGGTCCTCAACAGCATGTGGCAGTACCGCGATCTGAGAAGCCTCTACAAAAAGGTAAGGTTGGCTTCTCCTTCCTGGACCAGGAGATATACACAGACCCTGAACTCAGGGGTGCAACATTGGTGCTAACGAGAGACATGATAAATCATGAGGTCACTGGTCTCGAGACTCACTGACAAAGCAAAAGGAGCCCATGAAGTATCCGTGTTTATAGTCTAAGACCCATGTATTTTCCTGACCAGAAGCGTTTATGTTCACAGAGTGTACCCAAGCTCCTTTCTCAACAATAGAATAAAAATCAACAGACTGTCAAAAAGCAGTGTAAAAAATGGTCAACAAGCCCTTGAGGAGAGGAGATACCATGAAGCACAAAGGGCAATCAGGGGAGAAGAGAAATCTAGCATCTCAGAAACATTGAGTAGAAGGCCCACAATTCAACCCTGCTTACTGGGTTCTGAGACCCTCACAGTGGTACTGTGTGGTATTGTTGGCAGTGGCTGCCCACAACACTTGGGAACCCCATGCACAATGAGATCAGACCCCTGTGATCCGTGGAATTTCACGGACAGACCTTGGAAGTACAGCATCAGGATTTTCTTCCCAGTCCATCGCAATCTGGAAGCGCCACTGAAACTTGTTCAGTATCATAGCACCATGAAAGTCTCCACCACAGGTGGTGATGCATGAGGCACACTGACCACGAACTGAACTTGGGTCTCCCATGTGGAAGGTGAGAATCCTACCACTACCCCATCCACCAATGATCCCACTTCACAGGGTGAAAGAGCTAATGTATCCCAGTTATGGGCATAGACAAGGAAGAGGACACTTGGCATGTGTTCAGTGCAATCTACTGAAGCAGGCTTTGCATGCATTGCAAAGATGTTTTCACCCCCAAAATGGCATAAAGATATATCCTTACAAGGAAAATGTCACTCTAGAAACTTTGATTCTATACCTTACTTCCAAATATTGCCAAATAAAAGATATGTAACTTACTTTGTCGCTGTTAAAATGAGTTGCTAGGAAGGCATCTCCAACTTCTGACAACCCTGTGTGTGCCAGGGTATAACTGAGCTTCACAGGGTTTTTGGAAGTATATCTCCAGGCCTTGCTTCCGAGGTGCCTCCTGGTGGACTCAGACCGTTAACCTTCGGGTTGCTGCTGAGCACATTAATCGTTGGCACCACATACAGTTCCCTTTTAGTGTTGGTGGTTATTTGTTGCTATGGAGTCAGTCCTGACTCAGAGAGACCCCATGTGTTGTCGTTGTTGTTAAGTGCCATCGAGTCAGTTCTGACTCATAGCAACCCTGTATAGGGTTTCCGAGGAGCAGCTACTGAGTTTGAACTGCCGACCTTGTGGATCAAACTGACCTTGTGGTCGGTCCAGTGCTTTATCCTACAGCACCATGCCCTGTGTGTTAGGAGGAGAAAATTCAACAACCTCACCGAGTAGCTGTTGCTTTGCTATTACCAGGACAATGGTGTTTTAAAATTTTAATTGATGGGTGATCCCATGACAGGTTTGAGTTAACATGTTGGGGCAGAGAACGCTACTGGTATGCAGGGAGGATAGATAAGTGTTGATCTCAGGACAGGAATTCAGAGGGCATGTATGGGTGAGAGACATAGGGGTCTGCAGCAACTCCTTGGTCAAAACCAAAATCTCCACTGCCGTCACCCACACCCTCCTACCTTGGTGTGCATCCGGCTGACTGGACAGAAACTCACAGCTAGCAAGTGGGGCCCATCTTACCAGAGGGAGAATTTGTCTTTTTCTAAGTCAATGGGAATAGTAAATAGTTCATAATCATTTCTACTAAGTTATACTCGATTTCTAGATTTCCCCAAGGCCCTCCTCATTCCCTTAAGCATTCACTACTTAGGACTAAAAGTTTACACACTGTAACCCATTAATTTCTCTTTCATAGTGTTCCTCTTTCCAAAACAGAGGTAGATTGAAGTTGCTATGTTGCTAGGTGTCACTGAGTCAGTTCCAGCTCACTGCAACCCTATGCCCAACACAATGAAACACTGGTGTTATGTATGCACCATCCTCACAGTTGTTATGTTTGAGCCTATTGTTGTGGTCACTGTGTCAGTCCATCTCATTGAGGGTCTTACCCTTTTACGCTGACCTTCTACTTTACCAAACATGATGTCCTTCTCCAGGTACCGGTCCTTCCATAAAGTACATCCACAGTACGAGACACAAGTCTTTCCATCCTTGCTTATGCAGTTGAGTAGTATTCTAGATTTACTGGGGTTTTGCTATATATGTAGCACATAAGACTAAGCCTTCCATCTGCAACATTATGGGTTCCATCTTGCTTGAAATTCAGATCCCAAGATGTTCACAGAGCTCTTTCTTGGACTCCTACAGAATCCAAAAAAAAAAACATCTCCCCTGGAAAGTATCCTTAAACTAAACAGGCATCTGAGCACAGCAAACGCACACTACAAATTAGAAAAGAGAAAGAGTTCATCTTTCTGAGTCACCATTTTGCTTGGATCCGCTATCAACACTCATGGAAGCAGCAGTCAAGAAATCAAATGACATATCGCATTAGGCCAGTCTCCTGCAAAAGACCTCCTTAAAGTGTTCAAGGACAAAAATATCAGTTTAAGGACTAAGGTGCACCAGACCCAAGCCATGGTATTTTCAATAGCCTCATGTGTGTGTGAAAGTTGGACAATAAATAAAAAAAGAACAGAGAAGAATTATTGTTGTTGTTAAGTTCTGTCGAGTCTCTTCTGACTCCTACTCCCCCTATATAGGGTTTCTGAGGAGCAGCTAGTGAACTTGAACCGCCAGCCTTGTGCTTCAAATCACATTAACCCGCCAGCACATTAACCCGCCGTGCCATACCAGGACTCCGTAGAAGAATTAATACATTTAAATTACAGTGTTCACAATGAATATTGAAAGTATCCTGGGCTGCCTGAAGAACAAACCAATCTGTCTTGGAAGTAGCCCAGCAAGAATGCTCCTGAGATGCTGAGATGGTGAGACTTAGCCACGCATACTTTGGACATGTTATCAGTAGGAAGCCATCCCTGGAGAAAGGACATCATGCTAGGTAAAGTGGAGGGTCAGCAAAAAAGAGGGAGCCCCCCAACAAGATGGATTAGCACAGTAGCTGCTGCAACAGGCTCAAGTGTAACAATTGTGAGGATAGCGCAGGTCCAGGCAATGTTTCACTTTCTTGTGCATAAGGTCACTATAAGTCAGAACTGACTCAACAGCACCTAACCATAGCAACAAGTTTTCTATCTTAGTGGTGTTCTGTGTTGATAGTAAAAAAAACAAAAAAAAAACAAAAAACGTGTCATTGTCTTTCTGTTTCCATGAAAAAGAATGTGTTGACAGGAATTTAATGGAGTTAGAACTCAAGAGCTGAAGATGGCATAAAATGTGACTTGTGTGAGGGGATCCAAGGAAAGGTGGGCTGCAGAAACCCATGGTGATGTTTTCACTTGACCCATGATTAGAAAATATAGAGAAACAGTGGTTCTGAATAATTTCTAAATTATACAGTTATAAAATGAAGCAAAGACCTCCATACTCAGTGTCATAAATGCCATTAGTCGTATTGCTCAAAAGTATGGAGTTAAAACAAACTGCTTTCCGTTTGAAAAGTCCTTTTGTGAACAAACCAAATTCCTTGAGCATCGTTTGGGTGGTGATGGTGGTTCTGACTCATAGCGACCCTGTACAGGGTTTCCGAGGCTGTAAATCATTACCGGAGAAGAAAGCCTTATCTTTCTCCTACAGAATGGCTGGTAGTTTCGAACTGCTGACCTTGAAGTTAGCAGTCCAACTTGTAAGCACTGCGCTACCAGAGCTCCTTGTGCATTGTTTTAATGAACAGGAAAACTGATTTCTGTGTTACTTCTCTTAGACAATTTATATATGAGGGGGCATCAGAAAGTTTGTGGGAAACCTCCAATACGTTTTCATTCCATTTGTCCACAAACGTTTTGAAGTACCTGCATACTATTGGAAAGAATAAAATATCGGATCCATATCTTTTAATTACCCATACTTCAAGCCTATTTATTAAGTACCTCTCACTGACATAGCAAAGGAAGCAT